ACAAAATATATCTTCGGATAGGAGTAGCATAACTGGACAGATGTTCGAATAGTTTCCCGGTCGTGATTGCGGGTCCTTCATGGAATTCGGGTCCAAACTGCGAGAATTCCAAACGGAAACGGTCACAGGTTATGCCCGCCGACACGTCTTATCGGCAGCAACATAGTGGACAGAATGTGGGTGAAGATCTCACACCATCCGTTTTGTTATGCGTTCATGGTATGCAGGTGCGTTTATGCACGTTCACGCTGGAACACCGATAAAATGGGTCGTCGGTATGTTGATAGTTGTTTGAATTATCAGCCAATGAACCTACGTTCCAGTAGGCTGACTTCGACCGCTGGTCTTTATGCGCGTATTTCACCATGGCGATCGTCTAGCCATTTACATGACCTCCGTAGGTCTGACTGGCAAGCGTATGCTGCAAAGCGGGATCTAGCAGGAATGTGGGCGTTTACTTTGTTGAGGTACTTTAAGTCTTCCATGGAAATCCTGGACCGTGTCCGCAAAAACCATAGAATAGACTTGACAGGTGATGATATGCAATCCCGCGCGATAAACTGGGCCGCTTGTGTGATCCTGTTTCTGATCTGTGGGTTGTTTGAGAGGCGTGGTACCCATTTGGACCCATGGCTGTGTTTGGGATGATGGCAGTTTGAACGTCTCGTCGTTTATTTCCGTGCGCCTGCGTGGTTTATTTTCGAGGTACGGCGATGCCACTCAGGCAGATTCGACATATCAGTGTTACAGCCGTAGTTACTGCGTGTAGCATGTGGTAATCACCTATTGTAATTGTGTTGGTCGTAGTGTGTTCTACAACCTTATCAGAAATTAGTCACAGGAATGTTATGATATCGCAGTGGAACATTTCGTGAGAATGATGTTCCCTGGTGAATGTTGCTTGAACGATTGTGGTAGATAAGAATAAGTCACAGTCATTTAATCTTAGGACAGTCATGCCAAACACCGTCGTTATTTTTTGTTCTTTCATGTGTAACAAGGCTTGGAAGCCAGAATTAATATATTTAGGGAAGTGATTCAATCCAATAAGGAAGTCTATAAAGGTGCATGATCACAGGAAGTAAGTCGTCGCAAAGTATAGTACCGTGGCAGTCCACCATAAGGAGGAGCCAACGGGTTCACATTCTGACGCTGATGAGTGGGATGTCTGCACTTCATCCGAAGGCGCCTGTAAAACGTCGATAATAGACTGGGTGCATTGCGGCCACTGTCATGCGTGGCTGCGTTGCGATTGCATTGGCAGCTCACTCGACAGACCAACGTTCTTTTATCAAATGTGCGACTGGCGTGACCGGATTACGGAGTGAGTTTCCTAGGTGAATGCGCTTAGGGGACAAAGGTGAGTTTTGTTTATTAAGTTTATATTTGTTAACTGCCATGGTTTTTGGATGTGTCGTGAGCGGGTGGGACTTCTCTTGCCGTAAAATCCATCTCCTTTTTAAAGCGGTGCTGAAGTGGCAATCATTGTGCATCTTCCAAGCAGACTGGGTGAACGAGCCTCTGGAAAGCACCATTTGGTTGCGTTTTATTAATTCTTTTTCCATTGATTTTTCAGGTACATCTATGGAAAACTTTTTCGTAATTTTGTAATTTGGTTGCAATCGGTTGTTATAAAATTGTTTTCAAACGAACGACTCCATATGTCCTGACAACGTAAGCTTCACGACATCCAGGCCTTGCGCTGAAGACAACCCTACATAAGTGAGAAAAAGGGCGCAATTTTCCGGTTTCGTTCATATCGAGAATAAAAGATTTTCAAGCAGAACATTTGAAGTGCCTCGTAGATTTGGAACCTCGCCCGTTGTTATTTAAGTGGCATGTGAAACCGCCAATCCGTGGGTGCCATTGTTGTTTAGTCATCAAACATGTAACCATCAAGCAATGGAAGAAATAGGTGAAAATGTTTCTCTGAAGGTAGGGGTTCACAAAAATCTATTCGAACGAAAACTGGAAAGAGCGATTACCAGCCGAAACTGAGTTAGAAAGGTTGAACACCAACAATAGTGAGAGAGATAAACAGGCATAGCAGGCCAACAGTTCACGGATTCACGGATTGATACACAGGATCGAGGCTTTTGCCCAAGTTTCCCGGGTCGGCTTTGTTCTTCTCGGTCAGTGGCTGTCGTTCACCTGAAAGGCACAAGTGAAAAAAGGGTGTAGCACTGCTCTTTATGTTCTCAGCGCGGGGCAGTATGCTCGCCAGCGCGAGGATTCGCATAAATAAATGTCTAATAGTGCTTTAAATTGGGTTCGAGAAGGAGCGTGTACAACCGTCGGAGGAAGGTCATTCCACGCAGCTACTACCCGAAATGAAAAAAGTTTTGTCTAATGAATGTGTGTGCCCTGAGATTGGAAATTTTCTTACTATGTCCCCGCCGGGTGTTTGCTGGGTCAACGGTAAAAAACCTGTTTCCCAAGCTTTGTTCAAACAGGGCGTAAGTAAGAATTAGGTCCCCTCGGAGGCGACGGTACTCCAGGGGAAAGAGATCAAGCGTCGCGAGACGCGTTTCGTAGTCCACGGACTTGAGGCCGGCAACCATTCTCGTGGCGGCCCGCTGGACGCGCTCAATGAGGGTGACGTCTTTCGTACGTCCTGAGTAGACAACTTGGTTGGCGTACTCCAGGAGCGGTCTGACGTAGGCCCCATAGAGTATTTGGAAGTCCATGCGAGTAATACGGGAGAAGGTACGTCGGATCATACGTGTAGTGGGGTAAAAATGTAATACGGGCAAGTGGTAGCAGGAGACGCAGAATTACAGTGTGCAGTGAGGCTTATGCGACTCACTAGTGTTGCAGATGAAGCAGGTTCGAGTATAAAAGTTACTTGGGAAACGAGTTCACGTTCATCGAGATGTTCAGTCGATTGGTGATTTATGTCCACCCATGCGTTTGCGGTGAAGGATAGACTACCAGCAATGGGAAATAGGTGAATTTCTGTGGCATAACCACAAACAATATCATCGATCCTCTGGCTGCGAAGGACGCGTCGACAGTTTACTTATCATAGACCACAGCTAAAGCGATCAAGATAATACCGATTCCTGTACATACTAAACAATTCACACGATGCACATTCGGGGCGTGCACTAAGCTTAACATACAATGACACGTAGGCAAATCGCTATTATCGAACGACTCACCGTATGATAACCATCTACCGACGCTGAGTGAAAACAGTGGACGCACCAGCAGTATCTATTGATTCTATGCTTTTCTAATTTCTTACTTTTTGTTAGTGACATTGAACACAAAATTCATCGTCCTTTTGAGATACAGTTACCTTTAGGAACAACACGGTCAGCCAGTTGTCGCAAGAAGGCTGTGTTAAACTACCGAGAATTGCGCAGTATCTGCCTTCATTACATTTGGAAATTTGTTAACAGCGTAAATTTCTATTAGATACAACCCAATTATAATCACATATTTCGTTCAAGAGAGCCAATCATAACCATCCAGTTCTCCATGTTGACAATTTTGACTGCTCCCGCCATATATATTTCAGCCAACCAAAATGGAGATGACGCCGCAAGACGTATGCCCGCTCTTCTCTTGGCTTCTTCACAAATGCAATATGAATACGTGCGATTCACGGCTTATGTGAAACTAACCAATCATAATACCGGCTTGTGCATGAATCGCACGCCAGAAACCCAATCTGCAATAAGAACGGGCCGTTTGTGCATACAATGCCAAGCTGAGCTCTGATTAGCATAAATTGTGGGTGTAACAGCTTCCAAAGACGCGTTCAGAAGTTACGGAATCTCCATAATTTTGTTGTCTTCTGAATTTCGGTTATGATCTGTTTTTGCATGAGTTTAGACGGTTAAAGCAGTTAGTGAACCCTCGATGGCGAACGGAAAGCTGTGAAATTGGATAAGCTCCGAAAATTAATGCAACAGCAGCAAAAACAATTTGAAGAAGCACAGCTGAGGCGCGTTCATTCTCTTACTCAGAGGCCGCAAGTCTAGGCATAAGCGGCCAGTGCCAGTGGATTCTATTTTTTCCACTGATTCAGCTGGGTCATCAGTGTCGAAGTTCGCAACCGACACTTCTTCCAGTAACACTGGCTTCTGGTTCCAATCCGTTCGAGTATATATTCAGTTGAAAATTTTTTGAATTCGATAACTTATGGGAAAATTCATTGTTGTTGGCGGCACTTGGCATAGAGGAGCACGAACCGCCCTGTGATCTCATATTTGATGAAACTATCGTGAGGTTGGTGCTTGTATTTGGCCAATAAAAAAGCCGTTCAATATCTGTCACCAGTCCATTATGCTAGTCGAAGGGGTTGACAAAAGTTTTGTCACTTTTGACGGCGTTTTTAATCAGGAGTTCAACTGTGCCGAATACCCCGAAAAGGTCCCGTTTTCTCAATCCAGCATCCGGTTCCCAGTGATTTCAAAACGTACACACATGCTATGATCTAAATAGGTACGATCAACGATTATACACCAGGTGAAAACCAGCTCAAAAATTTCTTGCTGTGGTTCAAGTCAAACCACTCCTGAGACAAATCTGTGGAAACAAAGAACGCTAACAGTAGACCGCCGGGTTGATGAGCAAAAAGCAGTCCAAACACCCGACACAATGAATAAATTGCCTCAGGGTATCGTGAAAAAGCCGGTGCATTTTGGTATCTTATGTTTTCAGTAAACTATCATCGCGAAAGATTGAAGGGTGAAAATCAATGCAAAAACCAAGTGCAAGGCGGCGAGAGGAATAAGTGGGGGAAATAATAATGTTTATTCTCCATTGGTGGGCGTCATACCGTCAGTTGTCACACTTCAAGGAAGCTCGCAACAAAGTGAAAACCCGCAAAATATCTGGAAAGCGTAGGTAAACAAACAAGTTCCCGAAGGAGCATTGGGTTTACAGCTGTCTGCGCTGTGATGAGATACGGAGTGGCCATTTTCTCGGATGTGTTGACCAACTGAGGCTTTTGCCAAAAGGCCCTCAGTTGAGAATGATTGATCCAAAGCATGGGCGTCGCCACGAGTATGACTCGCACATTTTGTGGCCTACCCTCTATAGTAAGTTGGGCAGGCGACTGGGCTTACAAGTTAAGATCCGTGGTGGACAGCCAGGAGGTACCCGGCAGGTTGGAAACTTTCAGCAGACGTTGAGAAGAATTTGAGGAAAATTGCGTTATGGCAACTGAGCTATTTCAAGCTCGTTGTCCTGTGTGAGTAACCAGTGCGGATCCTGGTTTCTTTCCGAGCTGTTATGCGAAAAATATTCACTGTGGCATGTTAACCGTCGAGCAGTCAAATTGACGGTTGGCACGATGCGGCGTAACAAGACAGCTGCGTATTAGTCACCATTCGTTTCCACGAGTGTGGGTAAGGTATCGTTGACAAACCAAAATATTTATTCATCTACCTATTCAAACTAATAATTGTGACAAAATGATTAGAAGTGATGCAACTACCGCCAGGATAAGCTGAGGTAGATCAGTGCACTCACTGTAGGCGTTGTGATATTCGGAGATTAAAAATGTTACTGTTTATCCATTCCAAAAGGTAGTTACAAATATTGTTCGCGCACATCAAGAAAGTCATGCAGAAGGGGCTCCTCTGAACCAAAATTTCTAAAACATCGCTTAACTTGATGCACACTAAACACCTGTAGGCAACAGTTAACTGATGAGTGTTCTGGATCTCCTTAGAGACTTGAGAGGAATCGACCTGAACTCAGACGCGTTTTGCCACTGAGGTTCAATTTAAGGAGGATGAAGTTTTAATAAAGCTCACTGACCACAAAGTGAGTGAACATCATGCTTAAAGTAAGCGGCCGGTAATGAATAAACTGCTGCAAAAATAATGGCAAGGTATGAGCGGATGACAGAGGATTCCTTATGGCGCCGGGTATACACGGCCTGCAGTCATCTTCTAGCGTTATTTGTCTTGGCCTGACATAATATTTTTGCGGTTATTTTAAAAGTGCCTTTGATGCTTGGCAGTGTGAGCCACACACTTTTTTGTTGTGCTGTTTAGTCAGCCCGGTTGAAGCTTCTAAAATATTTTCCAATGAGATTGTTGAAGGAAAGTTTCCTGCGATACATTTTCGCAAACGCTTCTCATCCCCGGCGCTAGTCACCGCAAAGCAAGAAGCACGTCTTAGTTGACTGATAGAAGTCAAAAGTTGTCCTAGCTCCAAGAAGAGGGGGCGAGTGATAATGCGATAGAATTTAGTCAGAATATGTGGCGTTGGTGTACACCTTGGTTTGTCGTTGTTTGGTTGGCAATTCCTTGATGTGAGCGTCCAAAGCGATCGGGCCTTTCTTTCTTCATCTAGCAGTCTAAATTAAACGTTGTCATAAAAGTTTGTCTTTTAAGAGACACAATTTTTGACTCATCAGCTTTTATCGGTATTGAAATATTCTTCCCATTGCCGGACCATGCTTTTGGACTTGCTTCAAAAGTGGATCACTCTTTAACGGTTTGAAATGAAATTTTATTAGCAACTCTCGATAATGGGGATCTCATTCGTGTGTCTCGTAGTTGTTCGTCGAATTTAAAATAAGTGACCACGCGTAGGTTGAACGGTCTGCAGATGTGCTTTACACACATTGTTCCAATTGATATGTCGTACAACATTTTTTAGCAACGCCACGGATGCCAAAAATGAGCTAACAATGATGGGGTTAATCACTCGTTTTTTTTGCCTATCCAGGAGAACTTCATTTCCAGCGAACAAATATCTTAGATGCCCGCTCAAAACTAGCGCCCATCTCGTGTCACTGCTGAACATTCAGTGCCTACCTTCAAACTCCATCCGCAAGTCGGCTGTTTCCTGCAGCCGTATATTTGTTTGACTTTCTTCAGAAGTCTTGTTGTGCGGGCTTTGTTATCGTTCTTCCCTCATTTTGAGCAGCTCCGTTTTCTGCTCACAAAGCATTCCATCCTTTCTCTGCCACACACCATCCCTTAAAACGACTTAAGACTTTCCAGGGAGAATCTTGCAACAATTATCATTATTTGAGCTCGTTTTTCTTACAAATCCTTTTCTCCTTTCACCTAAATGACCATCCGTTGAATCGCCCAAGATGTCAATCCCTACTAGGTGCGGCTGTTTTTGTTTTCGAGCTGATGATTCCCTTGTACTTAATTGTACCATACGATTTGTTGCACCCAAGCAATAACTACCCATGTACTGAACGGTTGCATATCTGCTAGATCAGGCATGCGTATTCTTACCATGTTCTGTAATAAGCCCTGGATTCTGCTGCTGTTCAAGACGCTTTGTCTTTTATGGGTGGCACTCATGAGGCTATTTTTCTCCCATTTTCTCTGCAGACCGAGCGGAAATCTGAGTCATCTTATGTTGCATCTTTGCCTCCATATTAAACAATGTTGCTTTTATACTGTTCGCATTTCACAACCCCGGGAGCATCCGGCTAACACAAACTCCCCTAGTCTTATCACCAAGATTGCGCACGGCACCATGCAATAGATAAGATGTGCCAGCGCGGCTGATGTACGGCTTAGGTCAGTTGATGAGTCGGTCAACATGTCATGTTATGTGGATTCCATGTTTGAATGATGCATAGGGTTATATCCCATTTTAGAATGAGTCCATGACACAGCTGAACCGCTGCCCGTTGTCGAACCGTCCAGTCCTTAACTGCAGTCCAGAGGGTTGAACGTGCTATTCTCCTTGGCAATTCTTGAGATGCGTGGTGCCAGTTGTACCAAATGGAAATCGAGCAGTTCTAAGGTGCTTCTTGGCGCCTCAACATCAATTGACAATCCTCAAATTTCCTAATGGTAACAGCCCTACGTGTACACATAAGCATAAACATATATAGGACACCACCGAATACTGAAAGTCTCTGATTATATCGGCTGGACCTCACCAGTGATTTCAATCATCCTTATGACCCAATGGACAACGATCATGTCCTGTGTCGGTTCATTATCATTCTGTAATAATACCCTAGTTAGAATTTACGGTCATCTGCTCCCTAAAATACCGGAACCAATAAATTTAACCGTTTTTCTGCGCCACACTATGAAAGATACCATTGTTACTGATTCTGACTACCTTTCTTCATTCTAATTTTGTATTGAGCGTGGATCCACTGAGGCAGCTATTTCGTCCAATCGTCTCCGGAAGCGGCAGACATAACTGCTCCTTATCCGTTTAGCTTTGTTTTGGACGAACATAGATCTCACCAGCTGTCACACTTTGGCGCACAGTTCTTCGTCGGTTACAATTTTCAGTTATTTTAGCCAGCGGCTAGACGCACAATGTATTTTTCTGCAAACCCCCTGCGGGCGAAATAAAAACTTTAACGTCAAAATGTTGCACTTCTTCGCATATATGCGTAGACTGAAAACCCCCCTCATCTGCCGTCATTTTTTTGCGATTTGTTTTAATCGATGTCATTTGAAAATTATTGGCGCACATTCGGCTTTGAACTTCGTCTGCTATGGCTTCGGAAGTGGCTTTCGTTGAGAAATTTGTTGGTGTATTGTTTTCATCCTTCACGACATTTGAGAAGACCTCAAATGAATACATGAAGGATAACTTTATGATATTTGTGCGTTCATCCAGTAATCGAAGCACCAACACTATTTTGCGTTAAGAATGGGTGTACTACAAATGCGGCAGGCGCCCTCCAAGACCAACAGAAAGCCGTGGAGTCCGAAGAAGCTAGTAAGCCGAGCGTAACT